TCCGCAAATCGTTGGCGGGTATCCGAGGATACCCGCTCGGATACCCGCTGCGGCCGATGGATACCCGCCAGCGGGTGCGGGTGCGGATGCGGATGCCTGGATGGCCGGAAAAAGCAGCCGGATATCCGCATCCGCGCGGATATCCGGATGCAAATGGCCCATCTCTAAGTTAGACTTCATGGGTAGCGGATGATGGAGTGCATGGCTGTGTACTCCATATTCATTTGAGTGGCCACCAGTGCACTCCACAAAGCACTCGGGGTGTAAATGGGTCGGGTCGACCTGAAATCGACCCAAGACCCGACGGGTCATGGGTCGGGTTTGGGCAGACTTTGTGAGAAAATCGCATGACCCAAACCCAACCCGGAAGCTTAGCGGGTCGGGTTCGGGCAGGTGTTTTGATAGTTGGGCAGGTAAGTTTTTGTCATAATTGCTCTACAAAGGCTAAAATACTCAGGTCAGCCCGAACCCAACATACAAACTGCCAACCCGAACCCGAAAAGTCCCAAGACGGGTTCGGGCCTGGGCAGCATATATTCAAGTTTGACCCGACCCAACCCAACCCGACGTAAGTGTTGGGTCGGGTTCGGGCAGTGTTTTTGGGCCCGAACCCGATCCGTTTACATCCTGACAGAGCACTGCTCCAAAATGGAGATTGAAGTATATGGGCTCCGACAGGCTCTGACTCCAAACTTCCTGGTGTACACCATGGGATACTTGAGGATGTTTGGAGTGCACACTTGCACACACCTTTTTGTCGTGCGGGGGGGGTCTTGGAGTGCAAAAAGGCGGACCCTTATTTTGTGGGCGCCGAGGGTGCGCGTGCGAGGCGCCCGCACATAGACGCGCAGCGCACCTGGTAGTGGCGCCATAAACCCTACGGCAGAGGCTGCAATCCTAAATTGCAAACTCCATTTGGTGATGAGAACCGAGTGACATTGAGTTCTCATCTGCAAAAAAGCGCTAGTCTATGTGGCCGATGGCACAGGGAAGTCCTTCAAGCGGCTTTGATTTGCAAGCCTTGCCCCGGCGGGCCGGCGCGCCTCCTCAATCTCATTGGCAGTAGGTTTACTTTGACAAGACGTGAGTCATAAATTATGGGGCTTTGTGGAGAACTTGTGGGTCATGATCACACTGTGACATCATCAGCTCATATCCGCTAGTGTTCACCGGTCTACCATCGACAATTCGTATTTTCTGAATTTCCATGATCTTGTACAACAAACTGGGCTTAAGAAATATCAAGCTTCGGATTTATGTAAGGCTTGTCTGTGAGTTGCATTATTGCGCTTTCCGAGGTCCTGCTTGATCCAGCGAGCCGCCTGCCTCTGCCTCAGGCGGCGGCCCTTCAGACAGCCTCGCCGATGCAGGACTGCAGGCCGGGCCGTCAAAGCAAACAATTTGTATCATCTTGCACTCCCACAATGAATTCATTTTTCTTCTTGACGCGACTTCATTCCTCAATTGGTCACGTATTTCATATTATAGATCGTTATCATTGTTCTTGCTTCCGCTGTACACATCCTCTTGTTTACTTCAATTCCTGAGCCAGTGTGATTACACCCTATCAGACTCGCCCCATTCACAAGTTACAACGTCTTCCATCCGACCGAAATGAGGAAAAATCTACGCCGGTTCATGAGCAAGCAGAGTTCAAGTGCCGCGACACCAGCAGGGTTCAATCCCTTTGCTTATCAAGTCGATCACATCAATTCCCACTTTTTCTCACAGTTCTCCGGATTCACCAAAGGTCTCTTGATCTTTCTTTTCATCTGCCATCTGGTGATTGCGATCTTTTGCTCGATAATTCTCGTATTACCATATTTTCAGGGGACTAAACGATCTCAATGGATATTCAGGAAGCTATACATCAAGACCCACCCCGGAGCAAATGGTATATGATTGCGCCTTCAGCCGCTGTGGCTTCCTTGTTCTGATGCTGATGTGTCGGCTTCCTCCTTGATGATCCAAGTTTACAAAGCCCCTTTGTTCTGGATAAATGCTGGGGTCCTGATGACCATATCTCAGTTGATAAGCTCGGTAGCTACTCAGGCGTATATTATTATATGGTTCAAGATTGCAAACGCTGGCAAACCTACTCACACCCTGACGGAGCCTACGTAAGCTTTACCATCTGTTGCACTGTGATTTTATTCTTATAATGAGAAAAGAAAAATCTGACATTTTGGTCAATCAACGCGTATCTGAGTCTTGGGTAGTCTGGGATTGATGTTCATGTGCGAAATGCTTACATACTGGGGTCTGATGCATTGTTTCGTGGTCGCAATGTAAGTTAATTTATTTACCAGCATCACACTTACAGTGAAACGAAATTACTGAACCTCTCACCCACCAACTGAATATCACTTCTTGCATACTGAAGCTACTACGACCATGAGACTCAGGTAGAAAATATTGCGAAAGAAGACAAGAGATGGACTCCCTCACCGACCTTCATCAATGTTTTATTTCTTGGTTTCCCGATGGTCATCGTCATTGCGACTGTTACACTATTCAGTATCATGTCTGTATTCCATGCACAGCTAGTTAATCTGATAGAAGAGCTCTTGAATGCTCTGCGGCAGGGTTCGTCTGACTGGGACCAACTAAGAGTGCCGTCAACGTCTGTGGATGAAAAGTACCTGCTGGTCACTCAGCTAGCCGAAGTCGTATCGGAAGCAAAAATCTTTGGCGACCAAATTTTGATTCGTGTAGGGCGTTCTATACATTTTATTCACATTTTACTCTCAATTATACTGGCCTTAATTTGCATAACCTTCCTGGTAAGGACGCTAGATTTTTGTTGAGATAAGAGCCAATCGGTTAGATTGGGACTCGCTATTTGCTCTGATAATGTAGCAGAATGATTGACATTGCGAGAATTTTCATTCACCCCAGTGTTTTATCGGCGTGTTTTCGATATTAATCAGAAAATTTCAACAACAAAATGGTCTATCAGGCCACGAGTCATCCGAATCCAGTAGTCCCTTTCGCCGCTGGTTTAAGCCAAAGGGTTGGCGAAGCACAAGCGAGGAGAAATCTCGGAGCAATCGGAGATTAATTAATCGTCAATTTTGTGAGTCTCATGCTGATTACTTCACATTTTCCAATCATCTGGCAACTTCGGACCACTCATCAGTTTTCTGACTGCATTTGAGTTCTTTGTTGTGGATCCGTAGTCCATCTGCTGATCAGGGCGGTATTCATCATCATAGCGATGTTGACTAGCGTGACTCTCTTTAGCTTGTGGGTCACAAGGACAGGCGACTTCATTATGTCGTACGTACTTCCCCATAATATTTTCTGATATCGGTAATTTGAGAGCACCAGATTCTTCCTTTCAGGCCTTACTGGCGAGGGGTAACATCGTGGGTGTCGACGCTGGCTTGTACATGGTCTTCTGTCCCAATTGCCTGGCAATGCGTAGGTATTCTTCATCCTGCTTTATAAAACGCATCCCTGCTCTATTTATATTTCATCAGACTTAAGAAACTAACTACGCACTTGACGAGAGGACAGTGGAGGTTATACCAAGATCAGTTGGGTGAAACACCACAAGACTCGAATTCTAAGGATACTTCTTCGATGGGGAAAATGATCCAGAGCAACAGTGCCACCTCTAATGCTTTGGAATCCGAGGGGGAAGAAATCGAGATTACAATTCTATCCCAGAAAAGCCAGTCACCAGCCGCGGTGAAAATGGTAAGATGTGTTCTCAAAACTCATATGGAGCTGAGTCTAATAGACTTCTTCCCATCTGTGTGATAGGAAGCCAATGTGACCAATCCACTAGAGCAACGCGAAACTATTCTTTAAATGCCGACTCGAAGGAGAGCTCGAGAGTCATCAATAATTCTGCACGACCAATCATCGTGTAATACGCGCCGTAAATATCCCACTTGCCAACAAATAGTGGCCAAGAGCATTAAAATGTACACTCAAGTCAAAAGCTCCAAAATATGTACATTTGAAACTTCAATATTCATCGATGATTGTCCCCCAACCATCCTGGTGTTTTTTATTGTAAATGAAGCGGAAGTCAATGGTTGGGCAGGTTTGACTTTTCCAGCCTGTCATATTCCCTCATTGTTCATAAGAATACCTCGAGACAACATTTGTATCATCTGGTTCCTAGTGGACAACTACTAACATGCTCCCAACAATCAAAATTCTTCCAAGTCATGTTTAGTTACTGGTTGTTTACAAACCCAAATAACTGGTACAATTTTGTTGCGAGCTATTGAACAAGGAACCTGGTTCAAATGTGTTTATACTTCGGCCCATAGAAAGATTCATGACGCTTCTTATCAGGGGTTTTGGGGATAAACTGACAATTGTGGGGCTATCTGCGCTTTCATTTTTTGTGGTGGCCAGTACGTACATAATGAGAAGATGGTCCGAAAAATAATGAGAAGATGGATGGAATCTGATCAAGTTGAGAACTTTGAGGGTTTGACTTGAGCCTGATACTGCGATAGGTTTTGCACATTTTTCAGTCGCGGAGTTGACAGACAACACGCCCGAACTTAATCAAGTCCCTGCGAGGAGAGCCCGAAGGGCCCTCCTTGGCGCGATCTCCTTCGGAGGGACTGTTTAATTTCGCTGGCTGCCCCTTCCGGGCCCGGCCAAGGAAGCTACAATGTCTAACTTCGTTGGCTGGGATTCCCCCAGGGCAACCAGGATGTAAAAGTTCGTTGACCGACTCGACTAATCAACAAATTGAGTATGCAAATTATTTACATACATGTGAACAAGTTACAAGAGACGCATGGTACAATAGCGCATGGTGTGTATAAATGTTAGATCACACAGGCAAGTGGGTCAGGCGGGGACGTCGTCCTGAGAAAACGCTGTTTGTACTTGTTCAAACACCAGCAGCGGTAGCGAGTGAAACTGAACCCACTCATTTGCAATCTTTCAATACCCGTGTGTAAATATTAAAAAGAAAAAAGTCGAGGCCAATTTTGATTGCCTTGTAAAGAATTTCCTGCTGGGGTTGACACTTCTGTGATGCGGCTTCCAACCCGTTCCGAGTTTAAGGCCCGATTGGCACACCCCAAGCAGCTGATAAAGTTTACATATATTTTGACCTGATTTCTGACCGCACTCCCATCGCCGGTTAGATTTTTGGATTCACCAGGGTTATCTCCCTGCTTCACGCTCAATGTTCGACACACCGGCGGACAACTTAACACCGGAAAGTGTGATGAAGGACCAGCCGAGTCTACTTCGAAACGAAAAAATTTGGAGCCCCGCTCCTTCAGGGGTTAATCCTTTTGCATATCTCATGAATCGGAGCGCTTCTGTGGGCTCAGCACCGATGTCCGGACTCACCAAAGCTCTCTTGATAGTTTTTTTCATCATTCATCTGATAATTGCGATATTCTGCTTGGTCATCCTCGTGCTACCATGTTTGCGAGGGTCAAGACGATCTCATTGGCTTTTCAGGAGGTTATACATCAGGGATCAATCCTCTGTGGCAAACGGTTTGTCCTCGTGACTTGTCTCTAGTGCCTGTTTTTCAATTCAATTTCTAACGGATTTTTTTTTTTCGGTTCAAGTTTCCAGAGCCCCTTTGTTCTGGCTCAATGGTGGGATCGTGATGACCGCATCCCAGCTGATGGGCTCTCTGGCCACTGGAGCATACATCTTGGTGCAGTTCATGATTACGCATTCAGCCAAGTTCGCTCTTCATGCCCAGGTGGAGCCTGCGTAAGTATTGGTATTATAAAATATTTCGCTGTTGTCATAGTATAAATTTTATTCTTTGAGGTTAACACGTGTCCGAGTCTTCTGCAGTTTGGCAATGATGTGCGTGTGCGAAATGCTTACCTACTGGAGTCAAATGCATTGTTTCGTGGTCGCAATGTTAGTAGATTGACTTTCGAGAATATCATGTTTGTTGAAAGGAGCTAGCTGAATCTCTCATATAACGCCTAAAAATAAAAAGCATTGAAAGCTGCAGACTGACTTGAAAATTTGTACACTCAAGTTACTATAACCATAGGGCTGTTGCGAATCGCGCTAGGAGATGGACGCCATCACCGACCTTCATCAATTTCTTGTTTCTTGGTTTCCCGATAATCCTCGTCATTACGGCTCTTGCACCAGTGATCGGGTTATCCTTAATTCATAGACAACTTACTGCTAGGGTCCTTCAGACATTTGACACTTTGATGAGTGGCTCGCTCATTTGGGAGCAAATGAGAGTGTCGACGTCTGAAAAAGAAAAATACCAGCTTACAGCCCAGCTAACTCAAGTCGTATCTCAAGCAAAAACCCTCGGCGATGAAGTCGGAATCCGTGTTGAACGTCTCAAAACTTGTTTTTACTCTTTCCTCTGGGATATGTTAGCTCAACTTTGTATAACTATCATGGTAAGCACATTCGTTTTTTTGAGGGGGGGGGGGGGTTGCTGCTGCAGGGGTAATCGTATCAGGCCGACTTCAGTAGGTCATCTCCTTCGTTAGGCAAGCAGAGTACTTACATTTCCCGCATTTTGTTCCCGCCAGCTTTTTTTCTTTGTATTTTCGATATTCCTGCACAAAGTGCAACAAAAGGAAGGTCAACCGGAGAACGATTCACATAAATCGAGTTCCTTTCGTCGCTGGTTTAAGAAAGATCTACCACCCACGAGTGAAACTAAGCCCATGGATCCTCCAAACGAGAACCAGGAGCAATTCAGTAATACCAGCCGAGTTCTGATCAACCGCCAGCTGGGTGGGTTCCGCACTGATTGCGACATACTTTCTAAACATCTGGCTGATTTGTCTCTCTGAAGATTGCTGATAGTATTTGGGGTTGTTTTGTTGAGGATCTGCAGCGTACCTCGTTCTTAGGGCGCTATTTATAATTATCGCGATTGCTACCAGCATAACCCTATGCATTTTAGGGATATTGAGGACACATGATGGTACTAGCCAAAGGTAAATGATTCCTCATGCTCCATAAACAGCAGTAGCTAACCCCACGAAATTGAACCATCTTCAGCCCTTATTGGCGGGCGGTGATGACGTGGCTACCGCCTTTGGCTGGCACATGGTCAGCCTTCCCAATTGCCTGGCAATGTGTGAGTTTTCTTCATTGCAAGTCATGCGACCCTTTTCCATCTTGTTCAAAAATCATGGACTAATTGTGAGGTTTGCAAGAGATTAGTGGGGGTTATACAACGATGAATTGGGTGGAAGCCCTCGAACTTCAGCAAATTCCAAAAATGCTCCTTCGGCGGGGGAAACGATCCAAAAAAACACTATCCAACCCGAACATTGGGAATGCGAGTTGGAAGAAATTGAAATTCGAGCTTCTCCGATGATAATTAATCCTCAGTGAATTTGGCACTGTGTTCTAAATTTTCTCTTCCGAATCCAAGTCGTCAATTTATTATTCTTATTATTTTGGTTAGTGCTTCCCCAGAGGGAATATGTAATACAATGAGTACAATCTATTTTGCAGCATAAGTATGTATGTGTTTAGCAAGTTTTTGGTGCTGTACATATGTAGTAGAAATTTCCCCAGGAATTTGTTTATGATAGCTTACATGTTATGATGCTTAGACCTCAAGATATATTTGATTCCTCTCTATTCTCAAAAGTGCCTGTTTGGTACTATCTAAAGAAAATAAAAAAACTATTAATAAATTGTGGGAATATTTGAGTTCAGTTGCATTTCATGCTGGGGCCTGTTCTACTACTCCTTGCCTGAAATGACAACTTGGTGCCTGGTGGGAGCTATAATACTGACTGACTGTGTAATTGATGAATGTACCTTTGGTTGATATCAACTTTAATCCAGCAACGACTAAGTTTCCCTGAAGGTAGTAGGTTGAAAAACAGTTCCTTTTGCTGAAGGTATTTTTGCTTTTTCAAAAAACATTGTGTGACAAATCAATTTATGTTAGTGTTGCTGGCGCATACTAGCCTCAACCCTTCCAAGTGTGAACTTGCTACATAAATTTATGGGTATTATTCTACTGGTGCTGTGGAAAATGCTGACTTGTGACCAAGATGTACCATTTAAGTTTAACCCATCATTAATAGTCACAATTGTCATTTAGCACCAATTCTTGCAACTCTGTTTCTGCTTCCACAATGAGATTAGGGGATTACAATTGCCCCTTCATCTACAGGGGGGCTTGAGACAATCACAGTGGGGGTAGATAATGGGTACATAGCTGGACAAAATTGGCCTGATGCCTACTGGTATCTAGTGATACCATCAATTTTTTCTGGAATACTGGTCTCTTTGAGGGAAAGACTTGGGGCTAGCTGGGTCCTAAAAGCGGTGGGCTGCTATGCTAAACTACACTACAGGGCCACTTAGAGCATCCGCATTGGTGTGCAGATTAGGCAAGATAAGCTGCCCAATCTCATCCTACCAACCATAATGGTTGGGATTAGAGATTGGATTAAGTTAGCTCCACTGCCAGGGTCAGTTTTGGAGTTAATGGGTATCAAATTTATACCCCACTAATCCTGGGATTAAAGAGGTTGCTAATCCTCACTAATCCAATCAACCAATATGGATGCTCTTAGCATTGTCATAGTGGTGCTAGCAGTGGCCCTTTTTTGTTCAGTGTTGGTGTGCCACTTCCCCCTCCTCCTTAACCTTTGGTTAAGAGCACTTGCTCTTGTTGAGAGCGCAAGTTGTGATGCTTGTTACTTTCCTTTTTATGTGCTTCTCGAGGTATGACGGATCTCAATGCGGCACTTGATTAAGATCACACTGGTTCATTTATGGATTGATTGCTTATTTCTGTCTGGTTGCTGATCAGATGAGATGATAAAAAATTGGAATGAGGGGAAAAAGACCCTCCTTAAATAGTATAATTTACAAACCAGTTGACTTGTGCTTCTAGCCCTGACCAATAATCTCCAAATGGCCAACTTGCGGTTATAACCCTAAAATGTAAATACATAATAACTAGCTTGCGGTTCTAGCCCTAACAATTAATGAATATGCATGTAAAGTCTGGCCAAATTGTGGTTTCCTGCTTTACAAACAATGGTGGGCCGCTACACTAACCATAGCAGTTAGTGCAGAATAACATAGCGGAATTCCAATAAACTTTAGCCTAGTGTGGCGTAATTCCTCCACATCCACACTAACACTACACTTGCAGGCCCTTAATAAGTGCCCGCTACGCTGCGCTAACGCACTGGTTAGCAGCATTTTGGCCCTGTAGCCCCCTTTAGCGAACCGTAGCGCAGCATAGGGTAGCAAAAAGCCGCTAACGTTTTGCTAACATGTAAGCGCTATGATTTAGCATTTCACTGCCGTTGATAATCAACAGGCTCAATAGACTGAGGGAGAGATTCTAGGACCACAGGCTGTCTTTCAGATGATGAGCTAGCTCAGTAGCAATGGTTAATGGATATCTGCGTAAGTGCAATGTTGAATCCAAGGAAATAAAGAAGAAAGAAAGAAAAAATGAAAGATAGAAGAAAGAGAGAAGTGATAATCTTACCTAGCTCAGTAGCAATGGTTAATGGATCTCTACCAAGCTAGGAAGGTGGGGGAGATGATTAGGTTAAGAGTTCAGTCAAATTTGAGAATGTGTGATCTTTTTGTGACAGATTTGTGAACCCACAGGACGAGGGGCTACATAACACTATGTGATTTTGGTGCCCAAAAAAAACCACTATGCTAACGCTTTTTGGGCAAAAAGCATAGCAGCCCAGTGCTGATACAAAAAAGTATTCAGTGTACAGTGGGTAGACAGTGAAAAGTGGCTGCTTATTTTGGATTCCAGAGCTCTGAGACACAAACTTGAAGTCATGAGACTGGGTCAGGTGGTGCATAATAGGTCCCAAAAAATGAATATGAAATAATAAAAGCAAAAAATAAAGTTTGAAAATTTGTGAAAAATAAAAAATAAACTCAATTTTTTTCAAAAGCTTTGATATTCATTTTGGGGGAGTGGGAGTGCTGAGAGAAAGAAAGAATGGAACATGGCAAGAATGATTATAAATGAAAAAAAATGGAACCAAAAAAGGTTTGGCCAGGTTGGTGGTCCAGATTGGAGCCAAAACAGTAAATTCTAGTGCTTTGCTGCAATGTGGGCTGGTGAATGCCCCACTCAACAGCTGTTTGAGGCCATCTGAAAACCAGTTTTTCCAAAATTTTCGTTTATAATCATTCTTCTCATTTCCCAATCTTTCTTTCTCTCAGTACTCCCACTCCCCCAAAATGAATATCAAAGCTTTTGAGAAAAATCAATTTTATTTTTTATTTTTCACAATTTTTGAAACTTTTTTTTTTTTTTTTGTATTCATTTTTCAGGACCTATTATGCACCACCTCACCAAGTCTCATGACTTCAAGTTTGTGTTTGGAAGCTCTGGGATCCAAAATAAGCAGACATTTTTCACTGTCTAGCTACTGTACATACAAACAATGTGGTCATCTTGTGGTTACACTATGCAATGCATATTGAATATGTAAACAAACTAAGCCCAAACTGTGGTTTAAAAATTAATATTATGCAATAAGCCTTGGGTCTTAGTTAAATGACTCCCAGATGTTGGAGTTCCGACTCCCAAATTTCTGGGACGTCGAGAGGACCGTCTGCCGACGGTCCTCAGGACGTCCAACCCCAAAATTGGGAGTCAGAACTCCAAAACCTTCAAAAGGTTTGGGTGTCGTTCCCCTAACAAAAAAATAATCAAATTAAAAAAAAAATAAAAAAATAAAAAAAAAAAATTAAACAACTTGTATGTATATGAATGGTCTCAACGGCCGAGGGGAATACCTCTCGGCCGTTGAGGGCATCTTCTGGGCGCCGACTCCCAACCCCCCTGGGGTTTGTGGCGGATCGACTCCCAAAAACCCCCGGGGGGTTTTTATTTTTTTCATTTTTTTTATTTATTTTAAATTTTTTATAAGGGGAACGACTCCCAAAACCTTTGAAGGTTTTGGAGGTCCGACTCCCATGGACGTCCGGAGGAGCGTCCACAGATGGTCCTCTAGACGTCCCAGAAATTTGGGAGTCGGAACTCCAATTTCTGGGAGTCGTTTAACTAAGACCCTAAGCCTTTTGTTATGCAAGTAAAATTTCAATCCCAAATAACTTTTGACCAAGTGGAGATAGCCTAGTGGTTCCAGTGAGTGAATATGGGTTAAATTACCTGTAGAATCTGATTATGCACTAAGATACCCAAGAAACATATACCCTTCCCAGAAGTAGAATGTGACTTAATGTAATTTGATACATGAAACACAATTGGCACACTACAGCAGGGTATGTATCTCAGGTGCCAGAACCATGAGATGGGGATTGCTATAAGTCCACACTTATGGTTTTAGGTATGGTTTTACATAGGCCTGTTTGAAAATTTAGATGTGAATAAGAAAATATGAAGAAAAAAAGAAAAAAGAAAAAAGAAAAAAGAAAAAAGAAAAAAGAAAAAAGAAAAAAGAAAAAAAGAAAAAAAGAAAAAAGAAAAAAGAAAAAAGAAAAAAGAAAAAAGAAAAAAGAAAAAAGAAAAAAGAAAAAAGAAAAAAGAAAAAAGAAAAAAGAAAAAAGAAAAAAGAAAAAAAGAAAAAAAGAAAAAAAGAAAAAAAGAAAAAAAGAAAAAAAGAAAAAAAGAAAAAAAGAAAAAAGAAAAAAGAAAAAAGTAGAAAGGAAACAGTCAGTTCTTTTGACAACAACCACAGAGAAGTAAAGACGGGAATGAAGACTGAAAAAACAAACAGCACAGTTGGATATGTTCATGCTTTACACCAACGGTGGGCCAGTTACACTAACCGTAGTGTTAGCTTTTTAAGCTATGCTACACAAAAGTTACCGTTAGTGGGAATTTTTGGCCCACTAACACTACAGGATTTTTGAAAAACAAAAAAAAACAACTTTAGCGTAGTTTTAGCTACCTTTAAAAAGGCACAACTAACACTACCCAAAATCCTGTTAGTGAAATTTTAGCAGTGTTAGTGGGTGAACCCACTACACTACATGTTAGTGTAACTTTTTGCAAAGTTACACTAACAGTTAGTGTAGTGGTACCCTCAGTTACACTAACTGTTAGCGTAACTGGTGAAAAAGTTACACTAACTGTTAGTGTAACTGATTAAAAGTTACAGTAACTGTTAGCGTAACTGACTATGTAGTTACATGACCACATGACTAGCGCTAGTCTACCCTGAAGACAGTGCCTGATTGGGGGGGGGGGCCTACATCCAGATCCCCTCAATTGATCATCATTTTTTTTTCAGTTGGTATTGGGGGCCACTCAATTTTAGCCCCCTGCCATTTTTTAACACTTACTTGTAAGACCACATTCCCCTGTCAGACTACCTTAAGACCATGGGTTCAATTCCCACACTGACCATACTTTACTGGGTTCCATTCCCACACTTACTGGTGTTCAATTTCCACTTTCACATCAGCAAGGGGGGGGGGGTGTTGAGTTGTATGATAGTCTGCTACCATTATGTATCACCAGAGTGTGGTGGAGCTGTTGGCATGGGCCATGACAACTACCACCCAACTGACCTGGCAAACACAAGCATCTGTAGCCTAGTTGGTCAAGGAAGCAATCTTGTATGTGACTCAGCATTGCTGAGGTTGTGAGTTCGAATCTCACTAGACACATCCTCATTTGTTATGAACAGCACATCTTGTGCTGTTCATGTTCTGCGGGATTGTGTGTGATCACGGGACATTGAAAATCATCACTGTGGACCTTGGCCGTATGAGTCATATGAACATTTCACATGAGTTGTGCAAAAATCCAGCTTGACACATCAATTGCTTTAATTGATGAGTTACACTACACTACATGTGTAGTGTAACTTCTAATGTAGTGTATTGTAACTAGGCATGTAGTGTAGTGTAGTGTAGTGTAGCTTAATTTGGTATAAGTTACGCTAAATGTTACCGTCAACTCAGTTACGCTTTTGGCTAGTGGAAGTTTTGTTAGCTTGGAAAAAGTTACGCTAATTGTTAGTTTAGTGGCAATTATTTCAAGCTAACACTAAAAAAAAATTGACGGAAAAAATTCACGCTACGCTGGCAGTTAGCTCAGCGGTGTGTAGCGTGAACTAACACCACAGGATTTCCAGCAAAAAAAAGCAACTACGCTAACATGTAGTGGCCAAATAGCGTAGTGTAGCATAGCGGCCCACCGTTGTTGACACACACAAAGCAAGCAGAGATAGATGGAAGGATACTCGTTCTGACAACAAAGGACAAAAAGAAAGAAAGAAAGGAATGGAAGGAGATATGTCGGGACAAGAGTGAACCAGTTGAGGATTGATGATTTCTTTTTACATTACAAGCAGGGCTTCCGAGAGTCTTGACATGCAATGATTATTTTTTTTTGGGTAAGTATTGAGGAAGTTGATCTTTGGTGGTTTCTTGGTCAGATGAGGAAAGATTGACTTTGGTGGGGAGAGTTTTCTTTAAGGAAAGCAATTCAAACACTAAGCAGTTGATCTGCTTATTCCGCAGTCTCATCGGGTGCGTGGAGCAAGATGAAAACTCAACAAAATAGAACCACTGATCCAAATCCTTGGTGCGCATGTCAGTGATTGGCCAGTTAAACAAACTTTAGTGTTAGTGCAGCTTAGTGTAGCGGAATTCCACTGAAAAATATTGTAGTGTAGCAGAATTTGCCATGTCCGCACTAACACAATACATGTAAGCTCCAAAATGGGCCCCACTACACTGCACTATTGTGCTGGTTAGTTATTTATTTTGGCTCTGTAGCAGCTTGTAGCATAGCATAAAAACTGCTAACAGTACATGCCAGAGCCTTGTGACATATTTTTAGATTTTTCACATGGGATTGGACCCCCAAACATGTTGAGGGGCATGGGGTCCAAAATACTGCAATGTGATCTATGTTCATGATGAGGATCTTGTCAGTGAGAAATATAGTACATATATCCAATAAAGAGAGCCACCAAGTGACAGGTGGAAGAGCAGTAATTGGACACTTGTTAAGTGAACAAACTAGATACTAGCATACAAACACTGTACAACCAGATTCATTGTCTTAACAGAACATACCCTCCACAAACCAATTTTTTTTTCAGAAGGGGTGTGGCCAAGTGCTTGTGTTGTGCACTGTAGTCAGGTAATCAGGGTTAAAAATCACCCACATGCCCTAATCAACCATTCAAAATATGAGGACTTCTTGTTAGCCTTAATAACCTATGAAAACTAGACACTACAGAATCAGGTTTAGAACTACTGAACTTAGGTTCTTGCAAGGAAATGTGATTTATCTGAATATTGATTTGATTCTTCAGGGGATACAGAATTAATTGTGGACTCCACAGCACTATTGTTCATTGCAATTATATGAAATCAACTCACAAAGAAGAAACCAAAATAACAGATGGTCCCAACAACCTCCAATATGGGTGTGTGTTCAAAAGAAAAGGAAAACAGATCTTGGATTGAAGAGGCAATCAATTAAATTTCCTATGTACTTAGATTCCAAGTGCAAATTCAACGTCCTGATTCTTTTTCCTTGATGACTCTAAGCAAGCTTTTTTTTGTCAATCTGGAGACCCACAATTGGCACCCATTTCTCACCCTTCTCACGATCCGATCAAACGTCTACTGGAATCCAAACCAATCTTGGGTCAAAGCTCAGATGTCCTGAACCCAAGATCCACCGGATCGGGCCCCTACAGCCGGTTTCTAGGTGGACCCCTGCTTGCGGCGCGCCAAATCTTCTGAAACGAAATCCTGATGTTTATATGAGTTTAAGGGAATGTTGGTTTTTGTTTATCCATATATAGACTTGGGCGACGGATCAAGTCTCATCAGGCAAGAACTGAATCCTACGAGCGAAAGATGGACTGTAACTTACAATTTGAAAGACAAGCATCGAAGACTTCTATTTTCCTTTGCCATGTAGGAAAGCTTGATCACGGTGTGTTTGCAAGTGCTGCCTTCCAATTGAGTTTACGTTCTGTCTTACCTCAGATCGGCCTCCTTCTCTATTTCTTAAAATAAATTTCAATAGCTGGAAGGTATGATAATCGAAATCATTGTATTTGGATCAACAAAAAATGAGAAGAGGGCATGAAACTTTGTTCGCAGTGCGACATGGAATTCTTATGTGTATGTATAGAACGCAGTTCGTTACAATCAAACAAGTTATTTTTTTTTTTGACATTTTTTGGACAATTTTACTATTTTTTTGGGTTATTTGTGGGTTATGAATCTGGAAAGATATGAGCAAAAGAAAACCAGGTGAGATGAACCCAAAAGAAGAAGAAATTCCACCAAGGAGGATTCAGTTTGGAACCGTCTGGATGATCAAGAGCTAGCCAAGAGGAGGTGACATTGCCTTCAAAAATCGAGGGTAGAGTTGGAGGCTGGACTAAAAAGGAAGGAAGTTAAACGAGCTTCCGGCGTGCCAATTTTGCATGCAGGATGACAGATTCAATGTCTCGGCGGAGAGACAGCCATTGATCAATTTCGTTATTAACGAACTTGAGCGTCTTGAAGTAGCACATGTTAGGACTCCATTGGTGACGTGGATGATCAGCTAGAAAATGTGTCTTGACATGATCCTCAGTTTCGAACATTTTCGGACAACGGGTGCATCCATATCGGTTGATGAAGGCTTCCGATCGAAGTTCATCGAAGTCCTTCGTCCTCACATGCTTCTCTTTGTCGAATTCTAGCGCAGTGTGAATATTCCTGAAATGAACTTTCAGCTCGTTCATTCTCTTGTGTCTTGCTTGACAAGGAAGGCACACATCTTTATTCCCCAGAAAACAAAAGAATTGAAAACAAAAATCACTCATCAGTTCTGAATCTTGTTTAACGGGATGAAGATCAGCAAGAATAAAAAGTGACTCTTACGAGGTCTATAGCACGTATGGACCATCGCATGTAGTCTGAGATTGGATTCTTGATCGAAAGTTTTCTTACACCCCGGAGAAGGACAGCCGAGTAAGTATTTGGAGTTGATGAGGGCCCTCGATGACTCAAAGCGCTTTGGAAACTGGACCAGGTCTTGAGCAGGGTGAAGCTTTTCATCTGCTCGGTCAAGTTGATTTGGTTCGTCATCTTGGTCCGGTTCTTGATCTTCCGCGGTTTTTTCATCCTCCTCAGCCTCCTCGCCAACATCTTCATCATCAACATCATCAACATCACCTTCATCATAATCACCTCAACTTCCTCTTCACCAATCTCACCTTCGTCCTCACATGCTTCTCTTTGTCGAATTCTAGCGCAGTGTGAATATTCCTGAAATGAACTTTCAGCTCGTTCATTCTCTTGTGTCTTGCTTGACAAGGAAGGCACACATCTTTATTCCCCAGAAAACAAAAGAATTGAAAACAAAAATCACTCATCAGTTCTGAATCTTGTTTAACGGGATGAAGATCAGCAAGAATAAAAAGTGACTCTTACGAGGTCTATAGCACGTATGGACCATCGCATGTAGTCTGAGATTGGATTCTTGATCGAAAGTTTTCTTACACCCCGGAGAAGGACAGCCGAGTAAGTATTTGGAGTTGATGAGGGCCCTCGATGACTCAAAGCGCTTTGGAAACTGGACCAGGTCTTGAGCAGGGTGAAGCTTTTCATCTGCTCGGTCAAGTTGATTTGGTTCGTCATCTTGGTCCGGTTCTTGATCTTCCGCGGTTTCTTCATCCTCCTCAGCCTCCTCGCCAACATCTTCATCATCAACATCATCAACATCACCTTCATCATAATCATCAACTTCCTCTTCACCATCCTCACCATCATCATCATCACCTTCTTCTTCTTCTTCTTCTTCTTCTCCTCCTTCTTCACGAATTTCCTCTTCTTCGTCATCCTCGTATTCTTCTTCGTCATCTTCGTCGTCCGTTACTCGATCACCGTGAACTTCTGGCATAAATCCATCGTATCCGTGATCATTTTCAAACATTCTTTGCTGATACTCGTGCTGAGAGTAGTTGGGATATCGGGCTGGGATGAATGGCGTAGACATGTCTTTGTTATAAGGATGAAACGAAGAAGTTTTGATTGGACAACCAGAGGTTGTTATAGGGGACCAGCAGACTTTTTACCACAGAATCAAAGTAGCTTAAATAGTACTGTTGTCTGCTACCTGACTGAGTTGGAGATGACGACTTGTAAGTAGCTCGGCTTGACTGAGTGAGCTATGTACTGACAATCGATCGATCGTAGGCCGACCTCAGCAAAGTATAAAGGGACGCAATTATAAGAAGAGGAAGGAGAATATATCTCTTAGATTCTATGTTTGTACCACCACACACAGCTGAAGACTACGTAAACACAGTGGTTTGTTCCCTGGGCGCAAAATCAAGTTGTAAATCCTTGGTCGCAAGTCTCGGGTGCAGTCAGATGGTGTATGATGTATTCTTCACAGAGACTGA